TCATCATCATCACTCCGCCTTCACGACACTTGGACGCCCCCCCTTGCTGCCAAGTGCAGCCGCGTCCAACATGCTGCACCGGACCAGGAAGAAGTGCTGGCAGCAATGGCCGGCCTCATGAGCCGCACCGCTGCTTTTGTGGCCCTTTTGGCGGTGTCCTCCCAGGCTACCCAGGCCTGCCTCAGCGATGTCCTGCTCAACAGGCTTGATGCAGACAACAACGATGACGTCAGCTTGTTGCAGGCAGACGTCGAGGGCTCAAGGCAACAAGCGAGCGCTGCAGCAGCGGTGGGGGCTGCAGGGAACGAGGCCGGCCCGGGTGAAACTGGATCCGCTGAACAGCAGCAGCAGCAGCAGCGGCGGCGGCGGCGGCGGCGGCGGCGGCGGCGGCAGCAGCAGCAGCAGCAGCAGCAGCAGCAGCAGCAGCAGCCGCCTCCCGAGCACTTTGAATGGGCGGTGCGGCAGCTGGCGCTGGACGCACAGCAGGTGAGGCGTAGAGCGGGTCGGCAATACGACATTGTGAGGGGCTCATTGATCACACACCTGACTTGCCTTTCATGCCTTTCATACTTTCCTTCACGCGATTGCAGAGAGGCGCACACATGCACGCGCTCAAGTATGCGAACGCGCATGCAATGCACGCCTCCGCTGCATTGACAAATGGCATGCGGAGGTGCTCGCTTACAAGCACACACACTCACATCACTTTTACACACACAGGCACAACCACTTTCACATGCACCCGCACGCGCGAACACACCTTCCCAGGAGGATGACATCTTCGCCCTCCTGGGCCTAGCCCAGAACCGCATCCTCAGACTGCTCGCCCGCCGCGAAGCCCTGTCCACCGCCCACGCTGCCACGGAGGCCGTCAACACTGCGCGTCAGGAGGAGCTGCTGCGGGACCTGACTGCGGTGCAGTCCGCATACCAGGCGCGGGTCCAGGGCGGGTGCGATGGGTGGCCGGTTGGGGCACGGCTGATTAGTGGTCGAGCTGCACGCATTTGGCCCACTCGAGGCTCGCTGCTTGTCTCTGCATCAAGCAGCCTCACTTGGCTAGCGGCCCATGGTGCCAAGGCTGGGGGATGCCGACTGCGCAAGGCCTTGCGATGCGGCTTGTTGAGAGCTGCGACACTTGAGGCGACTGGGCATGCTGAGCCCAACACCGCGCCGCGCTCGATCACTGGCAGGTGACGTCCATCGTGTTTCTGCTGGCCTTTTCCAGCATGCTGCGGCCGGAGCAGTACTGCGCCTGGATGGCTGCCTCCTGGCCCTGGGCGCCCAGCCTGGCGTCGCTCAGGGCCACGCTACTTGAGGGACGCCTCGGCGCGCGGCGCGAGCAGGGGGCACCGTCAGGGCCGCCAAAGCGGCGGCGCGGGCGGCCAAGGAAAGTGCGCCCGCCCCAGGATGATACGCCGGCAAGCAATGACGAAGTTGACGCTGGTGGGACGGACGACCCGGGGCTTTGAATCAGCGGCGTCTCAATACACCGTCAGCATTGCTGGGCGACCGCGGCATCATCGGCGGCGGGGTCGCAGCTTTGAAAAGCAGACAAGCCTGCAATTTCTAGACAATGCATAGTTCACATTTTTTTTGGGTGATGAGCCGAACTGCACCCCATCATGCTCTGTACAGCAATTGCCCGTGGTTGGGTTGCTCAGCTCTTGCAGGGGACGCATGCGAAAAGTGCCAGGCTGGGGTTAGTTGGCACACACCATGAGGTAGACAAGGCACTTGACAGTCTCAACACTACAGCCTGTGCTCTCGCCGCCATAAGGCCGCCTCCAAAGGCGGATGCTGGTATTCTAGGCCCATTCGACCGGCATAGACCAAGGCAGAGCGGGCAACTTGATCAGCAGCCCCTCAGGGTTTCTTGGGCTTTTTGTTGCTTGAGGGAAGTCACCCAGCAACAACCCTGTTTTATTGTGGACTGATTGTGGGTTTGCCGCTCTGTGCACATTGACACGGGCGCATTTGGAGGGCCCAGAGCCCAAGACAAGCTTTTGTCTGAGCACAATACTGGTGGTTGTTTGTGTATGTGCATTGGTGTGTGTGTTGGGTTATGTAATGGTGTGTGTATGCGTGTGTTTATTGGTGTGTGTGTGTGTGTGTGTGTGTGTGTGTGTGTGTGTGTGTGTGTGTGTGTTCGCACGCGCACATGCGTGCATGTGCACCACTGCTATCAGATCGCATGCAGGCCGCTGCAACGATACACCTAACGCGTAACGCTACCAGGCAAATGCCATCCTTCAATCAATGTGTTGCCCTCACTTGCTAGCGAAGCGCACCGACCGGGGTTCCCGCTTCAGCAGCAGTTTTAGTTTGCGAACAGCAAATCCTGCATCGCAGCAGTAGGCAGGCCTGCTATTTTCCAAGGCTCTCACCACCACCATGCATGCCTACCTCTACCCCAGCACCAAAGAAAGCAAACAAAGAGAAAAAGCCGAAAAACCTCTGGAGGGGCCACAAACACCATCGTCTGCTGCACCGCCTGCATCATTTGGTGTGTTGAGGGTGCAAGTCTCCTGGTGAGCGCATCCGCTGCGCTATGGGTGTCACTTGGACCTTCCACAATATGCTTGCTGCAAGCAAACGGCCTGGACACGCTCCTGAGTACATGCCCAGGCGCACACACCCACCACATTACAGGTGCACTTGCACTCACATACGCTCGCTAATCTAGGGAAGCTCGTGTGCACGAGCGCTTGCGCGCGCACACACGCATACACACACGGGTGAGTGTGGGTGTGGGGGTCACGCGCACGGATTGGCCTGGAGCGGCCTCTGGCCAAGCTGCTTGGGGCCCAGCTGGCAGGCAGGTTGCAATGCTACTCACTCCAGCAGCTGGCTGGCCTAGCTAGCTTCTAGGAGGCATGCATCCTGAGTGGGTCTGTGGCGTACTGAATTTGCGCTCCGAAGCGCCAGTGCAAGTCCAAAACAGGAAGTTGAAATCAAGCAAATGACAATGATAGAGACACCACAACCAGGATTCCAGCACTATTGTGGCATGAGGGTGGCGTGATAAGTCAATGCAGGCCCGGGAAACATCTAGAGTGGGTCCAATCATCTGAAACCTCATCTATCCATCCTGTGATGTGAGACTACGAATCCATCCATCCATCCATCCATCCATCCATGCATCCATGCGCATATCAATGAAGCATAAAATGGTCAGACGCTGCTGTCAGTTGTGTAGTGTTTGCATGATGTGCTCTGACTGCGCGCCACCACTCGCTAGTGTTGCTGCCAGCCGGCGGCGGTGCAGCCAAAATCACGGACGATCACTCTGTCAACAGGCAGCCCTGAGCCCGCCCCGCCTCGCGCCGGGCTCACGCCATGTCCCCGGCCTGGCGATCACCCGTTTCATGGCCACCCCTGGTGTCACCAGCGTCTGGCGGCGACGATGGCGCGTGCTCGTGCAGCGGCGCAAACCCTCCACCCCCAGGCGGCACAAAGCTCGAGCCAGGGACGTCCCACACAGGCGCGCTGCTTGCACCGCCGCCGATCCGGCTGCTGCCAGGCCGTGAGCCCTCTGCGGCCGCTGTTGCCTGCTGCTGCTGCGGCTGCTGCTGCTCACTAGGTGCTGGGTCGGCGTACGCCTTTGTCCATGCGTAGAGCAGGAGGGAGCGGCTCTTGGCGGCCAGGCTGTCGGAGCCCCCAGGGCGGGAGGAGGGTCCCAGGGTGCTGGCGCGCCCCAGGTCAGGCTGGCTGATGCCTGCGCAGGTTGCTGGCAGGGTTCGATGCCGGGGCAGCGCGCGAAGGATAAGTGTGGCACGAATGGCAGGTGCAACGTTCCACATCTTGAGAGGAAACGTTACGCCGGTGCGCACCGCAACGGGTTGCATCCCACAGTGGCAGTTTTGCAATGTTTGCCGGTGGCTCAAGCGCTCCGCTCTGCGGCGACAAAGTGAGCCCCGGCTGGCAACTTGGGCAGCAACATCAAGTGCACCCTGGACGGTCACCCACCTGTACGGCTGGCGCGCTCCAGGCCGCGACTGGTGCGGTCGAGCGGCCGGCTGGTGCGGTCCAGGGACGCCCCCAGGCCGCGGCTGCTGATGGTGGCGAGTGACCGGCTGGTGCGCTCCAGGCCGCGGCTGACGCGCGCCAGGGCGGCCTGCCCCCCGCGGGCTGCGGCGTCTGCGACGGCCTTGGCGGGCTTGCGTAGCAGGGAGGTCATCAGGACGCTGATGATGGGGGCCACACTGGGGGTT